ATCTCTGTATTTACTAAAGAGGAACTTAACATTATGCCTTCACCCGAACAAGTCTATGTGGGTGGGGAAGACGACGGGTTGACTAGTTAAGCAGTTACCAGGGCGAATGTTATTAAACAAATAGTGAAACTCAAGCCAAACAAATCCCCAGGGTCAGACGAAGTGTTTGCCAGGGTACTTAAAGAATGGAAAGAGGAGCTTTGAAAGCCATTGTCTACAATATTTAATAAATCACTAGAGCCAGGCAGAGTGCCAGAGTCGTGAAAGGTTGCTAATGTGGTACCAATTTTCAAGAAAGCAGATAGATCACTTGCGTCTAACTATCATTCAATTAGCTTAACGTTTATTGTGGGATAGTTACTCGAATCAATAAATGCAAATACCATTCATCTTCATCTTGAAAAACAAATTTATAAACGATTCATAACATGGTTTTACAAATGGCTTTTCATGTTTAACAAATTTGCCATAATTTTATTCCAGCATAGTTGAGGCAGTTGACAATGGTAAGGATTGTGATGATGTACATCTTGACATCAGCTAAGCTTTTGATACAGTGCCACATGAAAGACTGATTAACCCTTAAACTGTGCAATGCGCCTGCAGGCTCACGTCTGGTTTGCGCAACGCGCCACCGGGTATTTGTATTTTTCACGTTCCATTCAAAATTCCAGCGGCTACATAGGGTTCACATCAGCTTCCTCAGGGCTCTTGTAAACAGACGCCATCTTTAAAAAAAATCATGGTCCACATTCCCGGGTGTGGGAGCCTCAGTAGTGAGTGAGCAACCAAGGCTGGCACTCACAGCGTGAGAGCACAGCACTGCTGTTCAGCGTGTGACCACAGCATCGCCTAATAATGTCAAAATATATATATATATAACTTGTATTATTTAGCCATGATAGTGTTATAGAAGCCTGAGTGTGATAATGACTGGGTACAATGTTCAAATATTAGTGATTCAATGCTGTTCACGATGTTCACAGTGCTAGCCACAGCACCACAGCATTATTTCGTCCATCTAGGAATCTTCAAATGATTTCTTAGGTTCCTTTTCAAAATAAATGTGTGGTCAATTATTCATTTACAGGAATTAGTGACCAGGATTGTGTTAGTAGCAGGATTGTGGTTATAATTAGCGTTGTGCGTAGTATTGTGGAAGGAGGAATTTTGGTGAGGGAGGGAGGGAGAGAATTGAGGTAGCCTCTGTGTGTGTGAGAGTGTGGGGCAGCCACTCTTGTTTTGCTCACCATACTAGCTTAGTGGTTCGCTATGGGCAACACATATGTACATGTGTATATACAGTGTGTATATAGTGTAATAACAGCAACAGGAGAATGTTGAGAGGAGCTATTTTGGCGAGGGAAGTTACGTAGTAATCATAGCGTCGTCTGCTGTGTGATTTCTCATGCAGTGTATGGTGGCAACTGTACTGTTTGGACACAATACCGACTTACTTGCATAGTTCTGGTAAATAAAACATGTAGATAGGTATATATAACATGTGTAATTAGTGTAATAAGAACAATAACAGAATGGTGGGAGGAGCAATGTTGGCGAGTAAGATGCTGGAGAGAGGGAGACTGGCTGGGGTGTGGCTTCTCTCACTCGAGGTGTTCTGAGTGTGTTGATGGTGAATGTATATAGTGTGTGACAGTGTATAGTGTGTAAATAGATTGTATATATACATAAATTAGCATGATACATAGTAAATATGTGCAGCATATGTGTACACAAGTGCCATGCACGTAATACAGTGTCTTCGGACAGTACGGATGTGTTACTGCCATAATATAGTGTACGTGTTCATTATACATAGGATTAGCACGTAAAAACAAATAAAATGTATTTGGAACTGTGTGCAAAAAACGAACAAAAATATATTCGCGGCAACTTGCACGCCCCGCCCCAGGCACCCTACTGGCCCAGGGAGCGTACGTCACGGGCGAATGGGGAATGATGACGTCACACACCAACTTACGGACCCCATAGCAGCCAAAGTAAGTACAATTTCATTTTTTTTTTTTTTTACATACCCATACTGAGGGAAGGGTTTTTGACACTTTAAAAAATCAAAAGAATTTTTTCCAGAGAATTTATTTCCTGCGCACTGTGGAGGTGTCATATTTGGAGGCAACGCAGTTAAGTGGTTAAAAAGATAGAGGCTCATGGTATTGGGGGTGGTATATTAAGTTGGATTAGGGCATGGCTATACCAAAGAAAACAGTATCAATGGGGTTAAGTCAGAGTGGGAAAAGTGTAAGTGGCATACCTCAAGGCTCTGTCCTGGGACCTCTATTATTTATAATATATATACAGTATATAAATGATTTAGATTCAGGTTTAAGCAGCAATATTTGCTGATGATACAAAAATCGGGAGGGAAATAAAAAGGGAAAAAGACTCGCTATCACTTCAAGACGAACTAAATAGGGTTTTGAAATGGTCAAAAAATTGGCAGATGCAGCTTAATGCTGACAAATGTAAGGTTTTGAGGCTAGATAATGATGATAAGAGTTACAAGATACGAGCTAGATGGTGTCGAGATTGCGAAAGGGATCTAGCAGTTATGATTAGTAAGAATTTAAAACAAAAAATCAATGCATGAATGATTGTAATAAGGCAAATACGAAACTGGGATTTATTTATCAAAGCATTAGTAATAAGACACCTTGTGTTGTTCTTCAGCTATATCTTACTCTGGTTAGGCCCCATTTAGATTATGCAGTTCGGTTTTGGTCACCATACTATACAATGGACATAAATTCACTAGAACGTGTCCAGCGTAGGATGACAAAGTTAATCCCCCAAATTAGAAACCTGTCAAATGAAAAAAGATTGACAGTTTAAATTATATTCTCTAGAAAGACAAAGAATTAGGGGTGATGCGATAGAGGTGTACAAGTGGATGAATTGACATAAGAAAGATGACATTAATAGGGTATTAAAAGTATCAACACAAGACAGAAAACGAAACAATGGGTATAAGTTTAGGTTTAGGAAAGACCTGGGTAAATTCAGGTTCGGTAACAGGGTTGCCAATTTGTGGAATCCGTTACCGCATAACATAATAGAAGTAGGATCCCTTGATTCTTTCAAGCGTAGGTTAGACATGTATATGAATGAGATTGGGTGGATATAAATAGGAGCTGCCTCATATGCACCAATATGCCTTCTGCATGTAACAAACTAGGCTGTTGTAAGAATTATTCCAGAAGGTTCCGGAAGTTTCGTGTAGGGACCTGACCTCAACAACGCACATTCCCCTGGGGATTAGCAGGTCTGAGTCACAAATGGCGGGCGTCTCTGTACATAGTTGCGTATAATGAACCATCCTATAGTATTCAGTAATTTAGAGAAATTAGCCTTTATTCATTTTGTATTAAAATTGTATTGTATAATATTCCTGGTTATAGTACCAAGAGTATTTTAATTATTAGGAGATTTGAGTTAAGTCACCATCAGTGACGTCACGAATCAGATCTAAGTTGTAAGGCGCGAGTGACCGGCGGTCATAGGTCATCAGAGTTGACATGTCCACTATTTCTCAAAATTCAAATAACCATTTTGGGGAACAGGAACAGCTCTGCCGTTAGATGCTTGTGTAATTTAACTTCAGTAAAATAATTCAACCAGTCTGGATCAATTAAGTACAACAGAGGTTAATTGTTATACTGTAACTTAAACCTGGCTAAGTAACTTGGTAAGCGATGCGGAACAATACAATGCTCTAGTCTGGGGAAGACCAGAGAGAGGGAGATCAGTGTGAACGCCAGATCAACTGGAGAGGTCAACCATCTTACCTCTCCCAAGACCAGCCCAACATCTTTAGCTGGTCAACATAGAGGTATAGTTGCTATTGTTATTTATAGGCATAGTCAATTCATTGCCGTTCAGGTCAAGTAGGGAGTGTTAAAGTGACAGGGAGTGAACATATTTAGATTTTGTTTTAGTTTTCTTTTAATAAATTAATTAGTTAATAATTTGCATTTTTATTATTTCCATGTGTTTATGTGAACTTGTCCTGGTCACGTGGTCCACACGAGGCAGAGTTGGATTGGGCGCCGACTCTAACATCGAGTCGGAATTCATCATTCCCGTGTAATTAATTCCACACTCTAAGTTTCCAAGGTCATCGGTTACTAGTGGGGATCAAGCCCCAAGGTTGATTAATTAGCATGATCGATCCAGACCTCGATCATTGCTCTGTGTTACTGGTCTGGTGGTGGCGGCGGAGGCGACTAGGGTTTTGCTCAGAGCCTTGGTCACGTCATACGGGTTGTAGAATCCTAAGTCGGTCAATCGTCTTAGGACCACGTGGCGTGGAGTCGGCTTTAGTAAAAGTTTTGGAGTCCCTTGTAGAGAAATAAAAAGTAAGAATACGGGTAGAGGGGGAAAAGAAGAAGGAAAGATAATTCGAGAAACCGCTCCCCGTGTTACATGCAGCTACTGTCATTCTTATGTTCTAAACAGTATTTTTGCTGTTATTATACTATATGAACACTTGTTCATATATATAATATAAAATATAATATAATATTATAAGGGGGGTACCACCACTGGTGCAATTATAGGGACCCACAGCCTCAGAGATGGGAACACAGAGCACTCAGGGAAAAACTTGACATTTAACTCTGAATACGAAAGTGTGTTCACTTCTACCACCCCCTTTTTTTTTTTATTATGAAGTACACTTTATTATGCAAGGTTATACAGTTACATATCTGATTTTATACAAAAAATGAACATTAAGAGGACACAAGAAAAAGTTTGCTTCCTAGAGGCTGTAGATTTCCTCGAACTCCTCCGACGCCGGGCAGGAACCGAGGATGCAGCGGGCATTTCCCCTCTGGATCGCGACACTGAGGCGCTGAAAGAGAAAACTTGCTGCTCTAGGGTCTCTTGTGGAGTCAATGAGCTTGGAACCAAGATCCTTAAGAAACCTTGCACTCTCACCCCATGGGCCTAGGGTCTCAGACCCTATTGGAACGAAGTTGTACCTTTGATCTAATTGCCTGTACTTGACTGACTTTTGTTTTT